GGTTAGGATAAGGGTACCAACTTTCTTCTGTAGTCTCTTTTAGCAGGGGAACCCCCCCAAAAAAGTTGGTCGAAGGGCACTACTGGGGGACCTAGTTCGAAATACCAAAGGGTTCGAATCGCATTAAACACTCACTTGCACAAAGCTCAAGGCCGGGCCGAACGAAAATCAACTAAGCGGCTACAAGCAAAAAACTGCAGCTCGCATGGGCCACTGGCAGGAAGAAAAATCTAAACTGCAGCTCGCATGGGCCACTGGCAGGAAGAAAAATCTGAGGTCAAAAGGTTGCCGTTTTCCGCTGGACTTGCTTAGAGAGGGTTGTTTGTTTGAAGCGGAGATGGCGATATCGATGGGAACGGTGGGGAGTTGAGATTTGGGCATGCAGAGTCGCTGCTGTTTTTTCGCGAGTCGCCCGCCAAGGCTCGGCATTGGGCACGTGACGCGGTGGCAAAACACTGGGGCAATGTATTGGCTGGCTGAGGGCACACCGAGACCTTGCCTTGGGTGCGGATTTATTTTGGGATTTGGTTTCGGATTTTTGTTTATTGTTTTTTGTGGGTTTTTTTCCCCGTCCGGGCCAGTAAAATGTCGTATTTTACAGCATTGTCTCGCGACGTTGACACATTTTACACCGTCAACATCCCCAGCATCGTTTTCAACATCCCCCGCATGTCCGACCCACAACCCAAGCATCACCAACAAATCGTGGGTAACAAAATCAAAAAAGTAGCTGGCGGGTTGACGGGGTCAAAAACGTAGCGGGGGGTTGGGGGGGGGGGGGCAGGCCCCCGCCCATGATGTCGGAAGAAGTAATGATTCAAGTAGGGGTGTAATGATTCAAGAAAGGGTGCGATAGAATTTAAAAGGCAGCGGGAGGGTTGGCGGGGGTGTCTTCCCTGAGAATATTCGAAGAAGTGCGTACATACAGACATAAATAGACTACACAGATTGAGTACAATGTCGTATTTTGCAGCATTTTCTCGCGAAATTAGATGCTCGAAAAAAGTGATGATTCAAATAGGGGTGCAATTCAATCTCTGCAAGAAATCTAAAAAGTAGCGGGGGGGAGGTGGCAGGCCCCCCCATGATGTTTGAAGAAGTGTTGATTCAAATAGGGGTGCAATTACTCTGCAAACAAGCCAAACAGTAGCGGGTGGGTTGGGGGCGGGGGCCTTCCCCCCCATGATGTTCGAAGAAGTGATGATTCAAATAGGGAGGAACTGGTGATGCTGATGATGCGGGAAGCCAAAAACCAAAGCCACAAAGCCCGGAGAGGAACTGGGAAAGCAGAGGATGCGAAAAGCCAAAGCCGCCAAAAGCCGCATAAACCAGCGAAAAGCTGCAAAAGCCGATACGCCACCTGCCGAAGAGGAACGAGGATGAGAAGCCAAGAAGCCAAAAGCCCACCCAAAAAAAACTCCCCTTGCCTTTGCCTTTGCGCTCTTGGTACGCGTGCGCTCTTTCACACACACACACACACACACACAAAAACAGAAGGGAAAATAAAGGGAAAAAAACACATCACCCACCCACCCAAACGCACACACACAACACAACCACACACAGAAGATGCACAACACGCAGGGATTAGTGTTTGATTCCCTGACTCCATGTCTCTCCATGTCTCTGTGTCTCTGCAGCCTCGCTTTGTCTTGCGGTGGGAAGGTTTCAGGCTTGTCGGCGGGCACGATAGAAGGAATCCACCCACCCCAAGATGGCGCGGCGTTTTCCTCTTGGCGTCAGTCTCAAACCAAGACACAGGTACCCCCGAAGGACAGACACAAATGCTGCAGACACTAAGTCGCATGTCACTTGCCGCCCGAGAGGTTTTATTTCTCTCAGTCCGCAACACTTTGGCCACTTGCGGCGGAATGTCTGACATCAAACACAGATGCTTCTGGCATTCAAGCACCTGCCCCAAAGACAAAAGCGCCATGCCGTGGATAAATCTGCCAAACGTCGCCTCAAGCTGAACTGCTCAATTCCCACAGTCATTTTGAGAACACGTCAAAATGTCTCCCCTGCAAATTCATAAATCGATGTGCAAGCCCAAAAGCGCGCCCCCCAAACGAACAGATTCCTCTACATGGCTGTGGGTCAAAACCCTACCCCTGGTGAACATCAAAATAGGTGGTACATGGGTGTTCATCCCCAAAATGGAGGCATAGGTTATGACCCATGGCCACATGCCACCGGTGGTTTCCACGTTCGGAGCCGCTTTCGGGGCCCTGCGACGAACAGCCACCCCTGCGACGCCCCTTCGGCGTCCGAGCGGAAAGTTTCGCTCGGAGGCGTCAGGCCGCCGCTCTCGCTCGGCCGCCTGCGCTTGTGCTTGAGCTTGTACCGCCTGCGCAAAAAAAGCCGACGGGCTGCGGAGTGGCCACTTGGATGGTGTAAGGGAAACCTAAGGAGGCAACCTATGGGGGTCCTCTATTTGCAGAGCGCAGCTGGAAATGCCCTTACACCTGGCATGGCACTTGGGTTCCGTTTCATGTTTAGAGGAAGTTTGATTTTAAATATCCTACCCATAAGTGCCATGTAGTGGTCACATCCACTTCTGGTTGTTTGAGTTGATTCCCTGATTTATTGGTGTGCCTTCACTTATCTGCAAGTGGCCAAGCGGACAAGCTTTCCGGGATGCCAATGAGGAAGGGCATTGCCATCACCACTACCGCACCGGCCACCGCCACTGCCACCCTCGCCCCTCATCCTCATCCACCGCTACCGCCACCGCTACAGCCAACGCCACCGGCACCGGCACCGGCACCGGCACCGCCACCACCACCACCACCACCACCACCACCACCGTCGTCATCATCATCATCATCATCATCCTCATCATCGTAATGGTCATGGTCATTGTTATGCTCATGGTCACTGTCCTCGGCGTCGTCGTCGTCAGCGTCATCGCCATCGTTGTCATCGTCCTCCTCATCAGCCTCATCATCCTCCTCATCCTCACAATCCTCTTCATCCTCGTCCTCATCCTCATTATCCTCATCCTCATCCTCATCATCATCATCATCAGCAGCAGCAGCAGCAGCATCCTTTTCAGGTTGGTTTACAGGAGAAACGGGCAACCAACTTTGTCTAAAGCAATGCAACATACAAACATTTGTATTTCTACGAGCAATTAGAACCCATCAAAAACCTAATTGAGTTAGCTAAGTCTGACTAACTAGACTAGTTGAACCAGCAAAGCAAAACAGAAAGGCACACACACACACATCACATATTTTGCACTTTAAACGCACACACAAAAAAGAGCGCTCACGGTCCCGCGCTCTCCATTTTGGGAGGTCCAAATCTGTATTTACACACCCACACCCAAAGGACACGTCGAAGTGCCATTGCTGAGCTGGGCGCATCCGTCGTCCTTTCGGGCACTGCTAGAGCTACACCTGCCTGCACTGCTAGAGCTTGCGCAGTGTGGGCCTGCGCAGTGGAAGTGAGCTTTCCGGGGAGTCCTTCAACCCTCGGCGTCATTTGGTGATGCACTTTTTGGGGAGTGGTTTTCAAGGGGAACAAAAGGACAACCACTGATATTCTCAGGAGACAAACCGTGAGGATGAAATGGTAAAAAGAGATAGCACTCCCTTTGTGTTTGTGCAGGGGTTGACAAACCCCAAATGGGGAGGTTGTGCCATCTACAGATTCACACAGCCATAACCCTAGAAGTTGATGTTTTTCTTTCGGTACCAAGGTTGACCCAGCCTTGCTGCAAATTAATTTCGTACATTGGCAGACTTGATGCACAAATGCAAGCAGTGGTTAAGCCGTGACAATCCCCTGACAGTACGGAGACCAAGCAAATCCCCACCCTTGCTGTTGAAAAATGAGGAAGACTTAAATGGCACATGCTCAGTGTGGGTTTCCAGAAGGGCACCTGCTTCTGCTTGATTCGAAGGGAAACCCCTCCTAGAAATAAGTGAACTGGCTGGTCAAAAATAGGCACCCAAAATGGGTTGCCCTGATAAATGGACACATGGACAACCACCTGCGGTCCAACTCCTGGTCGTTTCATATTGAACTATACGCATTTGGGCGTGGCTCAAAATTAAAGAGCTAGAGCTACGCAGGTGTTAGTCTTTAGTTCCACTTGCCAAAGTGCAATTTTGGTACAGGTTTTGAGCCACAGCAAATGGTTCCGCTGGGCCGAAAAAAACCTCGAGTCGCTTCGAGAGGGAACTCGAACCTGCCTGCACCAGGTCCAAGAGGCCGGCGGCTGTGCGCCCTGCGAAGGCTTGAGGGGCGCAAACGTGGCCTATGCACAAATCGCCCACCCCCCCCCCAAAAAAAAAAGAAATGGACAGAAAATCAAATAAATAAAGAGACATAAACAACATTTTGTTTCCGGGTTTCCTTTGGTTCCCCGAAAGAAAGAGAGACTCTCCTTGCAATGAGCCCCATCCCCTTTTAGCAGCATGGGTCGCGAACGGAACAAGTCTTCTCGCACTAGGCTCAGCCTCTCGCCAAACGAAAGGCGAAGTATCCACCAAAAATGGGCGCACTGCTGCGTCTCACCTACACCCCACCGGCATCGCTGTTCGTCACTCACCCACTGACTCGCGCGCTCCCTGCCTCCCTCCCTCCCTCCCTAACAGGCGTACAAACACGGAGCTCTTTGCTTGGGAGATGCTCTGAAGGGAACCGCTCTTTGGAATCTCTCGAAACCAACAGGGTTCCTTACATTATGCACCTGAACATTGCCTTGTAAATGGTGGTTTCCCTTTGGTGGGAAAAGCCATGTTTCAAATGGGCAAATCTAGCTTTTAAGGAGCCCTGACCAAATGGCGCAAAACATGCAAAGCGAGAAAAGATTCAATAGCATGAGGCCACCTGCGATTGCTCACCCACCACTGGTGACTCCCCCGGCGCCGGCGCCCGGTTGTTTGTCAACAGTTGTGTGGTTCGAGTGACAATGTACAAACGCATGGCTGCTTTGGTCATGATGGGGTGATACAGGCAAGCAATGTCATTAGACATCTGCCATCTATCTCTCACCATTCTCCCTTTTCGTCTGCTGGCCAACGAGCCATGCACCAGAATTTGAAGCAGTTTGATGCGGTCCCCTCGTCAAAAGAGTTCTTTGTCCGATCATAAACAAAGAGACCTGCGTCGAAGAGCTCGTTGTACTCATCATCATCCAACTGCTCCACCGGAACGTTGTCCCCGAGGCTTGTGTTGTTTGCCACGTAATTCCTCAGAAGCCCAGTGAATTTCTAGGGAACAATATTTGACACCCTTTTGTTGGTGGAAACCCGTGCCTAAAACAAAATAAGTCGATTGATTTGAGTCTGCATCCCAAACAAAAATGGAGAAGAAGTGGATGGGAATACGCTATGACCTGAAATTCTAAGCCACTTGGCAGCTGGGGCTCTCATTCTTTTTCCACTCCTGCCCGGTCTCGTTCCTCGAAATCAACCCCACGTGGATCCGGATGATGGGCCCAACAAAGGCCAGGAGAGCAATCGAATAGGCCAAATGCACCTTCGCAAAAAACCGACGGAGTCGAGCCCGGCCCGACCAAAGGTGGACATACAAAAGGGGGTGCATGTCCACTGAGGTGGTCCCAACAAACTTTCACACCACGGTGTTAAAATGGAAGCATCCCAAACAGGCTCCGGAGCTGTCCCTTTGGTGTCCCTTTCACCCGAAAGAGCGTGCCATTTTCGGTGAAACGTTAAGATGTCACCAAAACGAAAAGAGTAAGATGTAAGGTGCCACCAAATGGGTATGTCAAAACAGGGATTTGAACCCAATCTGGGTGGCTTCCTTTTGGCCCCCTGCTGTAAACCAGCCAAGGTAGCCTCGGTGAAAAACAAATAGCCCGACTATGGATCTATCGGTTTAAGCATACCCTGTGCTGGTTGGGTTTCAAGGTAAACCAAAAGGAAGCCAACCATTTTGGGGGGATCCCCGTTGAGACAAACTCGCAAGTCACACGAGGCGCCAGGACGATGATCTCGCTCTGCAAAGTGCCCCTCTCAGCGAACTGGATGGCAAGATACACGTCGATCACGGTGCCGAGCACGGAAATCAGGCTCAAGCCAATAAGCATCACCATGAACTCCCGGTGGTTCAGAAGTCCGATCCTCAGATGTCAAACTAAATTGGCAGCCTCAGAGTTGAAAAACCTGGAGTCTACATGACCCTAAAAAGTGGGGTCATTACCCAAAATAATGGGGTCATGGACCCATTTTTTAAGGGTCATGGAGACTCCAGGAAGACATGTCGCCCATAAAGAAAGGAACAAAGGGACAGCACTGGGCAGCTGGGAATCACATTGTGGAGCCACTTGCAGTAGTGGTCATAGCGACGAATCGGCCTAGGGTACTGCCAGCACTTATGCGCCCGCCTGGGCATCGTCTCCTCCTCTGGCAGCAAGTTCCGGGTCTTTTTGACCTTGGTTTGCCCGGGGTCGGCAAAAGTGCAGTATACCAAGCACAGCAGCGTGACGCTATAGAGCACCAAGAAAAAGGCGGTCAGCGCCGTCTGCGACATGGACGTAGTTCTGCTCAGAATTGGAACTTGCACAAGCAGCATGCAAATGGCTCCGAGAGTCGTTGACAGTGCACAGTGTGCTGGCAAAAAAGGTTTCAAATCAATGCCGAAGAACACGAAGTCCAAGCTTGGCCCCTTTTCTTCTTCACCGTCTTCTTCAGCAAGGGACTCCTGATCATGAGGCTTGGTGATGCTGGCAGGCGCCAAAAGCGTCGTTGGTGGCAACCGGCCCATGCTCAAGGGTGCCATCTCGCTGATGTATGGAGCCGTAGCGGGCTGAACCAGCGGCATGCCCGCATATGTCGGCAAACCACCTGTGTTGGGTGAGACGACTTGCAGCGCCGGCTTGTAGCTACCATAGGGAGACGAAGCCCCTGACATGAACGAGGCGTCCGAATAAAGCGCCTTCTGCATCTTCGATGGATTGGTGCATCTACGCTGCGCACTATCAAATCCTAGAGCCAAACACGAAATGGCACTGCACCTTTTGCGACCTTGCTTCAGAGATATCGCCAAATTCGTCCATGTCGCCATGCAGAATTGCTACATGTCAAGCTGTTCTCCTCAGACCAGTGTGGGCTGGCTCTCTTGACTACAATCTTCTTTCAAGCCGTGACAATGATTCGTGTCCGAGGATAGTTCACCAGTGCTATCTATATAGGGTTCTCAAAAGGTGGGACCCGACCGCTGCGTTAGCAGTCATTTTTATAGCAGGGACCCTTTGGCGGACCAAGTTCGATCTATGTCCACTTTGGAGGGTGCCCATGTCTTCGCCAAAGGCCTTCTCCATTGAAAGTATGCCTAATTCTCAGGGAATACCCTTCCCACCATTCACATTTCCGGATTTAAACCCGTGCTCTTTTGAACCATGGGCCGCTTCCCAAGGTGTAACCGGGTGCCATAGACAAACCAAAAAAAAAAACCGAACCATGGCACCTAGGGCTGGAAGCTTCGTTTCCTGGGTCCAAACATCCGCGCGCCTCCATGGCAGGCGGTAGGAGTGCTCGGCGAAGGTATCTCACCGGACAGAGCCAGCTGAGGCTTTTTCAGGGGTGAAAGAACGGAATCCAAGACGAAGAACCACAAAAAAAAAAATGGGGTCACCAGTTTGGTCTCGACACGCACCGAACGTGAATTTAAGGAGATCCCACATCGATGTCTCAAAGAAATCTTCGCGGGAACTGCATGTTAGATGTCGGAAAATATTCCCGGGCGGAAAGCACCAGACACAATCGTACGGCAATATGAAAAGTAGTCAAATGCCGGCCCAGTTGTTAAACAAATAGACAATTAGCTTGAAGCGTTTCAACTTGCCAAGAATCCTTGCATATGGGAGGGTATTGCAACAGTACGCATTTGCGCAAGCTTCCTTGCGTTTCAATTTGGCTGTCACAAATAAGTATGGGGCCCTTTTCGAGCAAATTGGGCCGTCAAAACGGATTTCTCTTTGAACCATGAGCAGCGACCAACACCCATTGACTTTTGATTCTGCTAATACATAATTATACATATATATATATATATACATAATCATACATATGTAGATATATATATATATATATATACATATGTATATATATACACGTGTATATATATATATATATATATATGTATATACATATATGGGCCTTCCTATAGTCCTTATTAAACCAACTAGTAGAACCACCTACTAAAATTGGCCCAAAAAAAAGGTGTTGGCCGCTGCTCACCTCGCGTTTCCGGGCGTTTCTTGGTCAAAATCTGGAGAAATGGCCTACCTGTAGATCTCACTCAGTCAGCATCCGCTTTGACGTGCCTCATTGCCCAGCGAAACACAGGCAGGCTGGCCCAAGTGTAGCGCCTGCCACGGAATTCCTGGGAATTGCCGACTTCTTTGATAGTTACTGGAAAGCCTTCCAGGTTTGGGTTTTCCACTAGAGGATTGGTTTCTTGGTATCACAGAAGCATGAATGTTAACATGGACCCTTCAGTGGACATGATTGGTAGTTGTGACCCCCAACGGTTCCCATTTGAACTGAAAAGAGCCATTCGACCTATTCTCCACTCTAAAAGAAGGATTCCTATCACAGAACTGGACACCAACCCATTTCTGATCTCTGCCAGCTCCACCTGCTGGGTGGTCCCCAGAATGGTTCGCTGGGTCTCGTCTTGGTTTTCCTGCACATTGAGAAGCTTCCTTTTTGTTTTCCCTAAGCGCCCAAACATCATGAAATTCTGGGGGCAATGAGATCTCAGGCAAACATCTGGTGGTCAAAGCCGGCGTCTACACGGCTTCTCTTGTGGAGCCCCAAAAAGATGGCTGTGAACGAAGACCGCATGAAAACCGCCCCATTTTCGGGGATCTGTAGAAAACTTGGCTTCATTCACTTGCTTTTTTTTTCAGGACATCAGCGGAATTGGAGACGGCAAAGCCCCCCATTTTTTGACGGGAGAGCCAACCTCGCAACCCCTGCCTCTTGGCTAAAGGCGCCGCGCCTGAGTTGCACGCGTCACTCGCACCCACAAGGCCATGGCCAAGTGATATCTACGTGCTCGTCCTTAAAATGTGCCACACAGTGCCTTTGAACCAATCAAGCAACCTGTATCTTCATATTAATGCTGTGGATGGACGAAATCTATTTCGCACCACCTAAGAAGCCCTGGAATGATATCCTGTAAATAGCAACGGACAAGGGTTTTGCATGGTTTCAATTTGGTGCAGGTTTTCGTCCATCCACATTATTACTCGAATGCAACATTTCTAGGCACACGCAAGGCGCAAGTTGCAAGATCTGAGTTGGCTCGTGGGTTTGCCGAATAACCAAAGCACCCAACAGCAAGCGGAGCGTGCTGAAGCCAATGAAACACCTGACGAGAAGACATAGACACTCAGCTTGACTGCAACCAAGCATGCCCTGAAACCAAAAGGAACGCCCACCAATTTGGGGGCCAAATCCTAGAAGGAGACACCCCCACGTTCTCCGAGCATCGGGCAGTTCCTGGAGCGACCTGAGCACGAGACATTGGACCTATCGTGCCCAATTCTGGCACAAACGCTAAACCCCGAAATATGAACTGCAAGTAAACCAAACACAAATTGTTGAATGTTCAGGGCTTTCCTGTTGCAAACAAATATTTCGGGAATCCGGAAAAGGCTGTCGGAGCTTTGCTGAACAAATGTTTGGAGCTTTCAGCATAGATGAATAGATGCAAGAGCCGCATCATCTGCTGCAACTTGGATTATTCCTGCCAAAACTGCTTCGGAAGGACTCATTATTTTGAACACGGAAAATTGCCCCGCGGAGAGTGTTGACCTGGACTCCACTGAAATTGATTCTTCTCCTGATCGCCAACAAGGCATGCTCCCATGTTTGCCTCTCACAGCAACCACAGTGGTTTTCGTGCTCTGCTGGACAACCTACGTCACTTGCAGCTTGAGCCATGGACGCCGGGGCCGGGTGTGTTCCTGGCAGCGAGAGCTCGCGGGTTTGCGGCTTGCCTCGTCCAATTTTTCAACTCGGGACCCCAGGTTTGAATGCCTGAAGCTGCCTCATCGGTGAAACGCAACGAGTCGCTGGAGCATCTGGGTATGGGTCAAAATGAAAGCACCAGGAATTGGACCGCAGGTGTTGGTCCATTTACCCGGTCAACCCATTTTGGGCACCTATCTTTGCCCCCAAAGCCATCTGGCCCAAAACCCTCCCGCCCTCCCCGCTCCTGAGGTTGAGAAGGGAGAAATTGGCGAGTGAACTGAGTGACCTGAGTACACCTGGCGCGAAAATGGGCACTGGCGTCTGCGGCCGAGTCTCCTCAAAAGGGGACCTAAAAAATGGCCAAGTTGGCCTCCCTTGAAAGCCAATCTAAGAAAGGGCGCGCTCAAGAACGACAAAAAACAATGAGTGGAAATGGTTGAACACAAATCCCCACCTACACCCAAGAGTCCCCAATCAAAATTCACGGCCATTAGCTTGCGTCCGGGAGGGCTGACACCCCCAGCATTTCGGTCCACGAGGCCCACCCCCCAGAAGCGCGCGGCTTCCAGAGGTCCAAGCGAAGCCTTGCTTTGGACAACTTCGCTTCATGGCAGCCCGGATCATCTTGACCCTTCAAAGGTCGGGGCATCACTGGAAGGGGTTTTTCACCTTCAAACTTCAAACCATTTGCAGTGTCGGGTGCGAAGCCAATCCGGTTTTCCGGCCGTGAGGCTTGGAGCAACTGGCTGCAAGGAAGCGAAAGGTGAGGCGCAAGGTCTACAGCAGGGGGTTCAGAGAACGGGGCACAGCCTTAGGAATCAAGAAGACGGTAGCATCAGTCTGGGTGCAAGTATCCTCGAGATAGTAAGGCAAGGCAAATTAGCCCCAAACGAGCATGGTTGTTTTCTAGAGGTTCGGGGCTTATAATTACCCTGCTGAGACTTCGCCGGGGGCTTCACGAAGAAGAGAATTCGTGGAAGGCCTGATTTTATTCCTGGCTTTTTGAGAATCTGTGAAGTCAAACAATTCAGATCCAGTCGAAGAGTCCAAGAGTCCAAGACGCTGACTCTTTCGCCCCGGCAAAGCTTCGCCTTTTCGCAACCTCGCAACCCCCCCCCCGGCGCTCCGTGCCTGTGTGATTCGCTCCGAAAACCGCGCCTGACAGCGAGTCGAACCGGGTTCGGGAAGCTCGTCCGGGGTGCGACTGGATGTAGGATGTGGGACCCGATTTATCAGTATGACAATCTATCCAAAGAGGAGCTCGATAATCAGACCCTTGTGACAACATGCGGAAAGCATCTTCCACATCGTTGGATCCGTACAGGATTGCTTCCAACTCTCTGCACTCTGAATGATACAAAGGCCCCATCTCAAGACGTGGCCAAACTCCACACTCTCCAACATGGCAGAAACAAATCAAGTCACAAACCTCATCAACTGCTCCTACCTGCCCCCACACACGCCCACCCCACCCCGCACCCCGACAAAAAAAAGAAGAGAAACAACAACAACGTGAGTTTTGGTCTATTTTAAGTTAAGCCTTCCGCGGAAAAAACACAAAAACAAAAGAAGAAGAAACAAACTGTGGAGTAGTGGTAGAAACATCGGCAAAAAACAGGTACCCTCAAAAAGCAGTGGCACGCCAAAAAAATGTGTCTATAATTGTATTTGTTTTCGCAGGTCCCCTTTGAGCGGCTGAACACGGGCAACGAGGGGTCACCTGAATTTTGATTCGAGGCCTGCTGCGTAAGGAGGTGGCGCAGGGCCGGCTGGCGCCGCGCA